TTATTAAGTTAGGAAGTAGGTTTAAAGGTAAAATTTCTAGTGCGTTATTTTATGGAAAACTCAATACTAGGTGACGGCACCTTAATTTTAAGAATTTCATATTTGTATCTATCGTTTTAAAATATTGTGATCCCGCCTGCTTGTTTGTTTTTTAAGGATTTCATGTTCATCTCCTTGATTTTAAGGATTTCATGCTTGTTTTATCGTTCAAGAGTATCGTAATTTGGATTTCATATTTGTATCTATTGTGATTTCATGTGTTGTTTCTAACGTATTTGGATTTCATGTTTGTATCTATTGTCATTTTTTTACAAAAAAAAAAAATCAAAATACATCATCAAATCTGATAAAATTAGAAATATTATATTATGAACTTGACCCCCAACCAATATCTATGCACATGTTTAATTGCTACTGCTTCATGCAATTTATGTCGAGCCGTTGAGATCTGACAAATGACAAATCTGACAAACACGCCTGAAAAACACAAATTAAAAGAAAACTTTTTTTAGATCAAATGAAAACTTGTTACACACTAACGTAAAAAAGAAAAAAAGAAATCATTGGTTATTACCTACTAACATAAAAAAAAAAAATCACTGGAAGGATTGGGAGGAGGGAAGGAGATCAAATGGCCTCCCTCCTCTCCCATGGAAGGTGTTGTTTTGTTTGAGAGGAGTGGAGAAAGTTAGAGAGAAGAAAGAGAATAGCTTGGTCCAATGTATTGAAACCGAGCATCAAAAATGGACATTTTGTTAGATTATATGAAGAATTGAGGATAGCACAGTTACTCGGATGCCCATATAATTGGAGTGGATCAGAAGTATGATCAGATTTATCTGCGTGATGATTGACTTTGTAACTAAGAAAACATTGGCAGAACCTCCTCTATATATATATATATATATATATATGGGACTTTCTGTCAAAGGTATTTCTGTGGATTTTAGAGAGACTGTGTTACCGGATCCATATCCCTATTATCCTGAAGAAAATGATCCTGATGGCTACTTTACCTGGCCTACATTCAGTAGTGCTGAATTCCTGAAATATTGACCTTTTATCGTGTTGATAATCATTTCTTAATTACTATAATTGTTGATAGGATTGAGTTGAGTTGTGTATTCTTACCCAAGTGAATTCTTGGTTTTTGAACACTTTATATTTCAATTTTGAACACTTTCTATCCTCACCTCTTAAATCCAATCCGCATGCAAATTAATGACAATGTATTAAAAAGTAGTCAAATTCTTCCTAGAAACACACAGTAATTTCAGCTTAGACACGATCGTACTCCAAAAAAGTTTAACACATCTTCCAATCAAGTAACTGCCGATTGGAATTTTGGTTTTTCAATCAAGAGCAATAACTAGTTTGGCTTGTCCCGTCCTTTGCACTTCCTCCCTGTATCACGATGACAAGTTTCGCGAAGAAAACATAGTCCAAGTTTTGTTAGAGATGCCAATTTTTCAATATTTTCACAAGGTGGAAAAAATCAAACAACTTTTACGGTGGGATTTGAAGGTGTTTCATCCCACGTTGATTGTGGAAAGAACAGGGTGTTTGGTTATAAGTGTGATGAAAAAAAAGTCTCACCTTTTGAGCTAACTTTTGGAAATCCCCAAGCGGGTAGTTCGCTGATTGGCTTTCTAGATCTTTATTTAGATGTCATCGTTTAGTGTAAGTCAGAATACCTCTGTGTTGAAAAAAAAAAAAAAGAGCTAGCTTTTGGAGTGGAAAAGCCCAATGGCACCCAAAAAAAAAAAAAATTCGGAGTGGTCCTTCGACTTACAAAAAATAAAAAATAAAAATCAACTGTACAACTCTAGCTTCCCTTGTTTCTCCTCTTAATAATTAAATCTTCTTTTTCTATGCCTCTTTTTCTTTCACTTTTCTTCTTTAAATTGTTATAAGGGAAATTTCATAAGCCTCCACTAGAAAAAAAGAAAATTCACATAGCACTCCTCTTGTTTTAAATATATATTTACAATAATCATGTACTGGTATTTTTTTTTATGATGTGATATATGTGATATTGAATATAACAAGGTGATTGGGATATGTATTTGCGATATAAACTTTTTCCTATTGAAATTGATAGGGAAGTGAGTCACATGAAAGTTTCAACTTATTAAATTTCTTTTACAATTCCTTTCTTTCTAGTTTCTAATCTACTTCCTCCATTCTGAACTTGTACAAAAATTAGAATGTCTTAGAATTTACCATTCAAAAAACTAGCTTGTAGTTATACATTTTATTCTTATTTTAACAATTAATGAATGAGCAATTTTTTTAATTTATATGACATTAGTATTTTGGGTTAATTACATTTACCTCCCTTGTGCTATAGCCAAAATACAAGTAGACCCCCTTAGATTTGGAAAATAACAGTCACCCTGCTTTGACTAAACATAGATCTAACAAATGAGCCCTTCCTATTAGTTTGTTAACGTCTGTTTGTCCCAAGCCAGCCAAAGAATATTCAGAAGTCCAAGATTACCCCCCTACGTCTTCCCAAAATAAAAGGAAAGGGCAAAAAGAAAAAACAAGATAAATAGATGAAAGAAAAGGGCAACAGAGAAGAGGAAAACAATGAAAAACCCTAAGTCGTTGGTCTGCCTCCATCGTTTGTTATTCCAGAAACCATCGCTACCTTTGCATGTGTATTCACCTTTCCTTTTTCTTAATATATCAACCCAAAGAAAAGAGCAACAACATCTTTCAAGCCCTGAATATGATGACTAGTATTTGAAGATAGGTAGGCATAAATTTGTGTTTAGCGATTAAAGATGAGAGATTTGTGGGTTGGTTTGATTGGCTGTCCTGAATTTTTTTTTTTTTTTTTTTTTTTGTTGACACAAGAGTGTCCGGGTCAATTTTTACGGGATCCGACTAATCCCCTGCAGCCTGGGCCCGGCGCCTCAATTTGACCCAAGCACGATAAGTGCGCGGAGGAATCCAGCAAAGCAGAGACTCGATCTTGGGATCAAGTGGTCACCAGTGGGAGGTGCTACCGTTGGACCATTCACGCGGGGGCGACGATTGGCTATCCTGAATATGATGACTAGTATTTGATGGTTTATAGCTTCTTCTTTTTTTTCATCTTTCTTCTCATTTAAGGGGTATGTTTGTCCATACATGTAGAATATTAACGACATTTAGCAAGTGTCACATCAAAGGGGCTGACTGTTATTTTTCATACCTAGGGGGTCTATTTGTACTTTGGCCAAAGGACAAGAGAGGTAGATGTAATTAACCCTAGTATTTTTACTTTTATATTTAATGCTTCATTTTTATGTCTATATATTTATGAAATAACTTACACACACACATATAAACTTATTGTTAAAGAATGCGATTAATTTTGAGATAAACAATTCTTTCAATATGCAAAACGTTATATTCATTACATGTTTTTATGTATATTGAATACTAAAAGTGAATAAGTTCAATATTGAATATTTTCTATTAATGAATAGACTAGTCAAATTTTACCGTTACTTTCTAGCTAAACAAACAAAGAATTCGTATTTTCTTACATTAGTTTCTTGTTAACCAAACAAATGTGAAAAAATCAGTTTTTTTCTTTAATTACATCACTTCACTTCACTTTTTCTACGACACACTTTCTTAAACAACTTTCCCATCAAACAAGCAGAGCTAATTGAAGTATTTTGCAAGGCCCCATCCAATATTGAAGTATTTTGCAGATCTAATATTTGAAAACAATAACAAATTCCATTTTTTATATTTTTGGGTTATCTTTTTAGGAAAACCATTGTAAGAATTCCCGGGGAAAAGTATTAGGGTAAAAAGGTTTCCTTTTCCCTTCATTTTCCATTTGCATATTCATATATTTTTCTTTCTTCTTACTGATTCGAATGTCCTTTTCCAGTGGAAAAAAAAAACTAGTGGATAAACTTCAAAAGAAATTAGAAAGTTAAAAGCACGAGTGGATAAACTTGAAGGGGACAAGGCAATAATCTAATCTAATGATCTTTTATGATGAATTTGAATTACATTCCATAGCTGCAAAATAGAATAATCCACAGAACATAGGCGAATAGCCGATACCCAAAGTTAAAATATCAAACCTCCGATATTTTCCACACTGCAATCTGGCATTAACGAAAAATATCCCTCATATTTTTACTTCATTGTCTTTTAGCCCACATATTCGAAATGAACCATTTTGGCCCCATGCTTCAGAATCCTTGTGTCTAAAAATTTTGTTTCAGTCTATTTTTTTGCTTGAAGATGTGTCAACAAAAAAAAAATTCATAGGTTGAAGGAATTTTTATTGTAGCGGGAAAAATTATTCACTTGTTACAGAAAAAAAAACTATGCTTTCATTTTTGGTATTAAAGAATGATTTTTCTAATAGGTACCTATAAGACACTTGTTAACACACCTAACATTCATCTAATTATCATGTATATACACATATTAATAATTATTATCGTCCCTTACATTTATATATTTTATCTATTTAATCTTACCCATTCTCTCTTGTATTTATTTATTTTTTCTAATTAATCTTACATTTTCAAAAATATGATACTTGAAATATATGTTAAAGGCACCCATTAAACAGACTCATAAAAGAATCAGTCACTCGATGCATCCTTGATCTTTTTAGGCAAAAAAGAAACTTGAAACTTGATCATTAGATATGGTGTAGACCTAAAAATTACTACTAAGTAAAAATATGTGAATCCATTTATGTGATTATCATTTTTCCTTATTAATATACTTTCTCAAGCCTTAAATGTCACATTTCAAATGTGAAGGGCCAAAACTCGCAGAGTAAAAATATTCAGGACTATTTATGTAATTTTTCCCGTTTAAGTGTACTATTTTAATAATAAAAAAAAAAGAAAGTATCGAGGATGCTTTGCTGGATTCTTAGCCGACTTTCTCACCTCGTCCCACTACTTCCACTAACTTCATAACCACCGCCCTGCCACCCCTGCACCTCCTCATGCTCCTCCGCTTCTTCCATGGCTGACCCGAATAACCGACCCGTCACCGGCTACCCAGCTCCGGCCACCAATGGTCACCCACCGCCGCCGTCCAACACCTCCTACCCCTACGCTGCACCACCACCTGCTGCTTACTACAACCAACAATACTACACTGGACCAGCTTACCATCAGCCTGATCCCGACGCCATCCGCCGCGCCACCTTCCTTCGCCGCCTCTTCGCTTTCATAATTGCCGGCGTCATCATCCTCGGCACCATCCTCTTCATCATCTGGCTGGTTCTCCGCCCCCGTCTTCCCGAGTTCCGAGTCGACTCGCTCTCGGTTTCCAACTTCAATCTCTCCTCGAGTACCCTTGTCTCGGCGGATTTCGACGTGAAAATTACTGCTCGGAACCCTAATGGAAAAATCACTCTGTTTTACGACAACGTTGAGGCGGCCGTTTATTTTAAGAATTTTCAGCTTTCCCAAACTACTCTTCCGCCGTTTTCTCAGGGGAAGAAGAATGAAACCTCGTTCACGGCGGAATTGGCTGCGGTAAAGGCTTATTTGGATGGAGATATTGCGAATGGGATTAATGGGGAAAGAGGGAAAAATGGAAATGTGGTGCTTAATGTCAGGATGCTTATGGAGGTGAGGTTTAAGGCGGGTGCTTGGAAGGCTAGGAGGAGGTATTTGAAGGCGTTTTGCGGGGATTTATCGGTAGGGATTTCGGCTAATGCGAGTAATGGGACTTTAACCGGTGGACCTCGACAGTGCCGTGTTGGCCTTTGAGGGATTTGAGGTGAAATGGGATTTTTATCAAATCAATGAAAATTTTAAAGTTCTTAGTAGTTTTATACTTAGAATGCAATTTTATTGTGCCTTGATTAGTGAGTATAAGCAATGTAATATGATGATTAGGAATTGGCATTTGAATTAGGGGCACTGTGACTTGATGTTGTGTTTGTGAAACGCTGTGGTGGTAGTGTAATTCCCATTACGCTTGAGACAGTATTGTCGTAGGTTCTTACATAGTGATTAGTGTACAGTTGGTATTGCAGTATTCATATTTTCTCGCATGATGTGATATTGTTTGTTATTGGTTGGTCCAATGTTTGCTGTTGCCTTGATTGTCTATGAAATTGCAATCTGGCACTTTCTTTGTTGTGCTGTCTATTCCTTCTTCTGGATTCAGGTGAAGGGCATATTGGCACTTACACTAGAAGCACATAGATCTTACCTTCACCACCTACTGATTTGGCCCTTTACTGCATTTTGTGAACACATGTTACTTAAGGGATCTTATGTTGATGGTTGTGGAAAGGTTGTTGGTTTTACATAATAGAAGATCAATGGAAAATGATTAGTCGAGTGTCTAAAGACTTAGAAAAGTATTCAATGGGAGCAGTTCTGAGGACACTGTCCACTGGCAACCAAACAGTGTCTGCACGATTCAATTGCAGATAGTCTACATGAGCATACTGCTAGGTATATGCACTCCTTATTGCTTGCTCTACTGCCAGTCTAATGTGCTTAGTTCTCTGCATCTCTGCTGATGTTTAGTGTGGTACAGATAATTGGTCTTGAAACGTGAGGGCATACATATACTGTAGCATGAACGGACATATGAATTTTAGTTTTTGGATCTGCTAGTGGTAAAAAAAAAAAGGCATAAGAATGGTAAAAAAAATGAAATTCAACCTGGACCTTATTTTTTCTTTAGATCACCGAGCATGATTGGACTTCTGAGGTACATTGAGATGAGAAAAATAGTTAATTGATTTACATAGCATTGGAAGTTTGGTGAATACAGGTGAATTGTAGGAAATTTAGCTGATGTTGATGAGAACGTGGCCTAGATGCTCTACTTAATTTAGAGTAATTTTAAGTTGGATGACGGGTTATGTGTTTAGGTCAGAAGTGTCTCCTTCGAAGTTCTACATTTAATATTGCCATTGCTAGGTCAGGCTGACATGTAAAACACAAAATGATTGATATGTTTCTTATAACATAGTTGGCATGGTCTGCAATTTCAAGGACATGGTGAGGAGCACTTTTCCACTACTTTTTAATGGGGAAACAATTTCTGACTTAAAGTGAAAATCTACTTTTAAGTTTTTTAGTGTCACTTGTAACTTATGGTGCATAAAAGACATCTGAAAATGTTCTTGAATTTTATGATCTGCATTAAGATTGTCTTTCGAGCACAAAATACTCCTCAGCATCGATTGGACCACTGTTTCTACATGGAGTGTGACGACATGCTATGTTTGATTCTGTCATAGTTTTTTTTATCTCTGGTTGGCGTACAAATGCAAAGATGTTATTCGATCTCCATTATTTGATTAGCATGCTGACACAACTTGATTACGAAATATTACTGGCCTATAAGCACATTTTTCTGTGTCTCCATGGTACTCTAATTCTGGCAAGCACGAAAGATACTTGGTCTAGAATGAGTTATTAGTTGGTTATGATGCTGCATATTTAGTGATTTAGACCAGTTGATGATGTAGCTGCATTCTGAAGTTTTATTACTTAGTAAAGATTGTAGCAAGCATTATTAATGTAGTACAGTTTTATAAGGCGGATGGATTGAAGTTTCATTTCTCAAATGTAAAAGTATAATTCCAATTCTCTTCCTAAAACATTGGCTGGGTAAGGATGGTCTATATCCAGTATTGCCTGAAAGGTATATTTATATTTACATGCATAAACAGGTTTTACACATAGATTATGTCATGGTTACCTGGCAGGTTGGCAGGAGTCAAACTATAATACCTTAAGGAATTAAGTGAGACTGAATAAATAGGTTATACAACCTTTTTTACTTATTACAGAGTAAGATTCGGTTCACTACAGTACTGTTTCTCTTGTTCTTGAGAGTTGTTGCACTCTTGTAAGTTGAACAGACAGAAAAATATTGTCTAGCTGTTGAAAAGGTGATATATGCATGCTTCTTTTCTTCCTTTGCAGTTTAAGAGATAAATGGTATATGAAAATCCTTTTTGGCAGAATGAGATGCTACCGAGGAGCGATCTATTGATTTTGAAGGTCTAAACTATAGCCTAGAGCCATATCCTGGTGTTGTTTAGAGAAACACATGGCTTTCTTTTCATCTTTTGTAAGTTGCAGTAATGCACTGAGCAAGTGCCTTAACAACATGACGGCGAGCCTTGTGCTGGAAGAAAAATGAGCATATTTGTGGGATTTGACCGAATAAAATTGAAGAGTTTTTGGAGTATATTTTTTGTATGATGTGATCTCTCTATTTGATTTTTTGAGCCTTGTTCATGACGATGTTTTGCTGACTACATATTCCCTGGCTTCTTCATGACCGTTTCTTCCACTGGCTTTGTGTTTCGTGACAGTTCTTTATTCTGCTTCCAATTTAACTGTAAGGGAAATTTTTACAAACCTTCCCTGAGGTTTATGACAATTTCATTGAGCTCCCTCAAGGTTTTGAAAATTACACATAAAATGATAATACTATCTTAATATGTTAATAAAACTCTTTTGTTGGACGTGTATATACAAAGAATAGAATTTATAATTATTTTTTCTTTTCCTTTTCTCTTCTTATTCCTTTTTTGTTATATATTTTGGCTAGTGAAACTGTAGAAAAGTATAAATATCGACGCTGAATGTTGAACTGGTGACTTTTTTTTTTTTTGAACGACTTAGAATGCGATCCAATATTTATTTGTTGATCATTTTTTTAATCAAAAGGCACACTAACTCAAAACGAAACGGTCAAAACTACTACAAAATTATGGTAATTCCAGCAATTTAAAAATTCACAAACTCTAAAAGTAGTATGGCAATATTTTCATCTCCAATTTAGAAGAATATTTATCCCCAGTAAATCACTATTGTCATAATTACTTATCAAACAATAAATATGGTATTGAAAACTTGATACTCGTTTCCTTATATTTGTGCTAATAATTACTTTGGAAAGTAATTAAACATTATAAGTTGAACGTATTTTGGGGTATTCATTTAAATTGCTAGCTAATGTTTAGTTACCAAGAGTGTCAGATGAAGGGAGATATGTGTAATTTTTGAAACCTCAAAGGACTTCAATGGAATTGTCACAAATCTCAAGGAAAGTTTAAGAAATTATCCCTAATGGTAATGTTCAACTCTTGAGAGGCCATTTGTTCTCAACTTGTTCTGTCATCTTAGATCTGGATCTAGAATGTTAGGTGAGGTCCTAATTATTGACCAATGACATGAACTTGAAATCATGAAGTGGGCTTGAGATTCTGGTTTTATTACGAAGAATAAAATGCTAGAAAACTCTTGACAATGGTCTGAAGTCTTCTATCCTATACAAGCAACTTATTATGGTTGACTACTAATGAATGTAAGGGTCAAAAATATCTCAGTTGGAAAAATATTTTTAACAAATCAATACAGCTCCAGTGAATAGGAACGGATTCATGATTCTGATGAGAAATTACTACATGGTTCTACTACAATTCATCATAGAGCACATGTCATGGCTATGGCCCAACAAATGACCTAGTCTAATAACTCCGTCCAAATTCATATTAATTTGCTCTTTTTTTTTACTGCATGGTCCTCAACTTGGATGGTAGATTATTTGTACAAATTTATTTGCTTGCATTAAAAGTATATTTTTTATTATTTTTTTTATCTCACATACACCAGATCGAAAAAGTATTGCAGTATTATTCCAAATAATCTACTGTCCACAAATATAATAAACCAAAAGATTTCATCAACTATTTTGTAGCCTACAACAATTCAACACGAGACGTAGCTAGAGGCTATATAGCATTTGAAAGGCGCACAAAAACAAAAAGGAAAAAATGAATAAATATTTGGACTCAAAAAGGAAAATACAACATTCATTAGATTCAAGCATCCTGCAAAATCCATCTTTTTGAATATTTTCATACGTTCTTGGTGATTGCAAGTTTCTTTTTTGCGTTAATCTTTCTTGACATGCAAAGGAGAATTACTACTACAACCTTCAAAGGTTTACCCCTTTTTGGGGACACATAGTACAAAGATGTTTCATATTATGACGATCCAACTAATACTTTGGTTAAAATCTTAAAAAATACAAGCTAATTGTGTTTAAGATTGAGGTATATATTCCTGAAATTGCATAAAATTAAATACTAATTATATGTGTAACTCTACTTTTTTTTTTTTTTTTTGCCTTTTCTTTTACCTCCCTCCTTTTCCAAATCCACTTCTAACCCCCAATCTGCTAGGTCAGAGCCGAACCCGTAACCTAGCAGGCGAGGAGGACTTCAAAAGCCCTCACCTAAGCAAACCCACTAAGGGGCTTGATTATATATAACTCTACCTGCTTACCCTTTACATTAAAATTAAAACCAATGCTAGAAATATTAGAGGCCATTAGGATTAGGGGTGCAATTTAATGAGTTGAGTTGGAGCATTCTATTGATCGAGCACCAGAATCAAAATGTTCATCTGCAAAGAAAGTTTGGACCGAACCCAGTCCCTTATAGAGATCCTCACTTGTGAGCACTCAAATTCAGCAGAATTCATCATTCCATTCTTATCCTGTCTCAACTCCAATTGAAAAGCTGTTTCATTAAACTCTGAAAAAGATTCATTTCTTCCTTCCCCGGTGTTGTGTTCAATTTCTTTACCACTCCTCTTGTCTCCGACAGAATCTTGCACGCGTGAAGCTTCTTGCACCTTTATTTCTTCTAAAATTTGTGACCTCTGCTTTTGGATTTTGTCGTCTATGGCTCAATAACTTTGGTGGATATTCTAGTGAAGCTTCA